GAGCATTGGAGCTCTCGAAAACAATTTCACAAACAAGCATTGCTCATCGATTGATTCACTGGAAGAGTCCTGTGCTGCCTGGCAGCCAATCCACGTCACCCTTCAGTTTTGGCCAAGCGCACCTTGAGGCAAGTGTCTGGAGAACTGTGGGTTGGGATTTTGTTGAGAGGGTTGGGAACAGAACTGCTGCTAGAGGCAGTGTGTTCAAAGCTTCGGCTTGTTTCCCCGGGGAATCTCCTGGAAATAGTCTCACCGACTGGTTGAGAGTTGGATCGTTGATTGAAATTGGTGGATTCAGGGCCGGTTCGGAGTTGGTCTAAGGCTGGCATAGATCAGGAACAAACAAAAGCGCGACCGGCAGAAAGAACAGCCCCTACAGCGGTCCCAATGGCAACAAACAGCAGGGTCAACTAAGAATGGACTGATTGGCCAACTGCCAAGAACAACAAGTAGAATTGCTTGCAAGTCAAAACCTGGACATGCCAAACAGCCAGAAGCCAACGCCAATAAGCAAAAACAGATGTTCACGTACAGAAAAGGGTGCAATTCTTACCACCAGCCCTCCTTGGCCATGAACTTTCTGCCACAGCGCAAACCGCCGCTCAAAGTCAAGCACGCTGTTCTGGTTGCTCAGCTGAAGCCATGATACTCCTCAAATGTGACTGGGGCCGATGGGCCCCTGGGCCAAAGGATAAATGCAGCGGGAGGGCCTCATGTTTAACCTGAAGGCCAAACAAATGGGATCCAAAGGCCGTTCCATAGCACAAGTCTGATTGAGCAGAACAATTTGGGCCCTAGCGGCTTCAATCGGGTTGGTGGATATCATGGCAAAACTGGTGGTTGTATCAATGTCCATCAACATTTTATTTAATAAGATTCCCATGTGAATGCACAGCCAGTGGACACCGCCAGTTTTTATTTGCCAGGCCGCGTGCTTTGACGCCGGCAGTGTGCAGCACGATGGCTTGGTACCAGCAGTCGTCACCGAAGAGGACCTCCACCTGACCCGCTCGGGAAACATGGGCTTGAGGTCACTGAAAAAACAGGGGATGGCCCCAAACCGAGCATTATCCAAAGCAGAAGCAAAGCAAGCCAGTGATCCATGCTTAGTTATTCTATCCAACCGTGTCTGTACGCCTATGCATTATGTATGTAGGGAGGCATGTATGCATGTCTGTAGTGAATGCCATGCCATGCAATGCAATGTAATGTATGTGTATATGTATTGTATGTGTCTGTATATATGTACAAATGCATGCAATGTAATGTAAGGTAAGGTACTGTAATGTAATGTAGTATGGTGTAGTGTAATGGCATGTAGTGTCATGCAGTGTATGTAACATAAGTCAATGTAATGTAATGCCATGTATTGTACTGCACTGTAATGTATGTATGTAGTGTGTACATGTGTGTGTGTGTGTACGTCTGTACGTATGTGCATTATGTGTTTAGCTCTTTCAGCTTCTTGGAACGTTGGAATGTAGGCAAAAAACTGACAGGTACGCATGGTACAGACTGGCATGGCTCAACATGATACCGTGATACCACGCAAAATGTGGGGGGTCGAGCATGATGGCATATATATATATATATGCGACCTCCTCTGGTGCCACAGACATGACATGCTACAGTGCCAACATAGGGCGTGGCCAGATTGCGGGAGAGTTGCCAGGACAAAAAGTTCGCTCCTCTAACAGGAAATTGCACTGGCACTGCGTACTGTCCATACAGAGAGAACCCCTGGCTTGCTTTTGGAGGCCGGAAAAACGCAAACAAACCTTCCCTGTCTCAAACCTTTGCATTTTGCTTTTTGGAGGAGTCTGGAAAAGCGAGCAAGCCTTCCCTACCTCAGACCGTGCCAGTTTGCTTGTTTCGTGGCCAGAATCAAACAGCTGCTTCCCGGCTCCAAACCTTTGCAGTTTTTGTTTTCTTCTTTTTTTGCGGGGGAAAAGAGGAAACACGCCTTCCTGCCCCAAGCCTTTCCTCTTTTGTTTCGTGGCCCGGCAGAAGCAACCAGCTGCTTCCCCCAGCCCCAAGCCTTTGCGAAAAGCGGAAACAAGCCTTCCTGTCCCAAACCTATGCCTATGCCCTTTTCGCTTTTTTCGGGGCCCAGAAAAAGCAAACAGATCGCAAACCTTTGTTCTTTGCTTTGGGGCTTGGGGGGGAAAGAGGCAAACAGGCCTTTCTGTCCAACCCTTGCTCCTTTTTTGCTTTTTGCGGGGCCCAGAAAAAGCAAACCTGCTCACCCTGCCTTTCTCTTGGTGTGGTTGAAACCCAACGCCACTGAATCGCCGCGAACCGAGGGCCGAACCGAAGCAAACTAATCCGACAAAAGAACCGAGCCATGCTGCCCGAGCCGCCGTGCTGCCGGAGGGCGGGGGCATCTCCAGCAGCTCTCCCTGCGAACGAACCCGACCTGTAAGCTTCTTACCTCCGGCTTCACAAATGGAATACCAACCCTCAAGCAGCAATCAAACAGTTTTGGAAGGATATCTGAGAAGAACTAATGCTGGAGCCTCTTTCCGGCTGCTCTTGAAGGCCATGGGACGAAAAGCAAGACCCCGGCACCTCCACATGATCATGTTCATCCTCATCTTCGCCTTCCTCATCATCATCCTCGTCGTCCTCGTCATCTTCTTCATCCTCCAAATCCCCCTCGCGCTCACCCTCATCTGAACCGGCTTCCTTTTCCTCCTGCTCAACCTCTCTCTCTTCAGAGGCTGCCTTGCTCGCAGTCCGGACCAAGGCCCACAGTCATGATCGCTCGAAGAAAGGTGCTCTCTACTCGGTAAACAGCTCGTCCTAAAAGGGCCTTAAGCCTCTTTAGATGAAGCATGGGGCCAAAGCCAGGGGGGCGCCTCCCCCACGCTGCCGGCAAGTTGGGGGCAGGAAAGCCGAAAAGGCGAGTGCAGCAGAAGCTACCGAGTACGCGGCCGACAACCCAGGTGCCAGCCGGCCCGCAGCGAAAGCTTCCCCCAATGAATCAGTCCCAGCCCACTCGCGACCTCGCCTGCATGTTCAGACTCGGGAAATCACAAGAGCCGCGGGGTGCAGCTTTCATAAGTGCAACCAAAGCGGCCTTGTTGCCACCAGCAGCAAGCTCACGCTGGAGCGTAAGATCCAGGTCATCCTCATCACTACTACTACTATCACTACTTTCATCGCTGTATTCCGAGTCTTGTTCTCCACCTTCTTCGTCTTCTTCTTCTTCTTCTTCTCCTCCTTCCTCCTCCGCATCCTCACCTTCCTCGCAGGCCGAAGTCACGGACTGGCTTCCCTTTCTGATATTTAGCTGACAACAGCCTTGATGACTTTGAACTCAAACATACCCAACCTTGAGCCCGTGCAACACAGACGACTGCGCGCTGCTGGCGGTGTTTTTTCCTTTTCGCCGGAAGTCAACATGCGAATGGTTTCGGGAGGATGTGTGGCCTGCGACATGGCCTCCAGCTGGCAGCTGTCGGAGTTGCCTGGGACAATTAGGGCCCGGGAGCTTCGCAAGGAGCATCTCTAGAGCCCTTTGATTCCATCTATTTCCAACCATTTGACCTTGAGCCCAATTCCCGGTGGCTTGCAGGCAAGAAGGAACTGGTTTTGACACATGAAACAAGGGGGTTGCAAACTCCAAATCATTCACCTTGAGGCGTCAAAAGCCCCCCCCCCCCCCCCCCCCACACCCACACCCACACCCACACGCGCACACACACACACACACCCACCCACCCACGCACGCCCGCACGCACATGCATGTGCATGTGCATGTGCATGTGCATGTGCATGTGCATGTGCATGTACATGTACATGTACATGTGCATGTTGTGCACATGCACATGCACATGCAAATGCCGCACGCACCCGCACGCACGCTCGTATGCAGGCACAAATTGACCCTCCTGCGATTATGCTTGAGCGCAGCTGCGACAGAGTACTTTGATTTACTTCCGCGGGAGTTTACTTGCAGCACTATTGTTGCGAAAGCTGCGGTTGTCAAATTAAAGCGGAAGCGCACCTCGGCTTTCGGGAACAAGAAGCAAGAATGTAACACCCAATCAGGAATATGGCCTATGCGACAACTGAACAGCTGAGGTTCAAGCCTTGACTGGATGCATCGGAATCCATGCCCGCATTGGTGCTGGCATCGTCGCCGAAGCCCCCGGGCATGCCCTCGCTCTCTCAGGCTCGTTTGCGCGGCTGAAAATAACAAAAGGGCCAAGTCAGCCTTGATTGACAAGATGTCCAATCCACGAACAACAGCGAATGTAGGAGACACTCAACAACTCCTGCCTGCCAACCTTGACCTTATAAGTTCAGTTCTTGCTCGCATTGACGCGCAGGCTTCCGGAAGGTCACATGGGAGAACAAGTTTAAGCATCGTTCAAAATATTCATCAAACCGTGGCGACGGAAAAGGCAGCTCGAGGCTCCTTGGCTAAGCCCTCCTCCATGAGCCGCAAAAGCTCCCAGGGATCGTCAGGGCTCTTTGGCGCCTCCGGCTGGTGCCCGACAAGCGCAATTTGGCCATGGACACCGCGCCTCTGCCCTCAGCAACGTCCAAAGATGGGACACCAGTTGGCTTCCCTGCCTGGCGTCCTGAAGGCAAGCGCAAGCCATCGCCGTTGAAAGGGGGGGGGAGGTGGGGTTGGCGACAAGACGTTTGACTTACGCTGCGCGCCTGAGAGGGGAGCTCCATTCCGTTCATCACCTCAACTGCCAGAACCCACAACGTTTGAACAATGAATCGCTACTGCATCTGAGGGCTTGGCCGGCCTCAATCGCTAAGTCACTAGGCTGGCCACACGGCGTTTTAAACGCACGGTGCCGATTCCCTGCACGGCCTGTCCCACTACTAAGGCCTGAAGCCAAGAAAGCAAACCGCGGCTGATATTCCTCAAAGCAGCGCTGGGCTCTGGGGCATTCCTCGGGGAGAATGCCCGATCAACGCAAACGGAGCACAGGGAGCAACAAGTCAGGGCCCAGTTGCATGCATTTCCGTGCGTCGGCCTCCACAAGACTGAAGGTGTGCTGGCCATCGCTTAGGTGCGAAACCTGCGGCTTCAATGCCAAAAGCATGTACCAGACTGGAAGAACGCTCGTTGCAGGTGAGAGGCGTCCATTGTCAGCTTGATGTGGGTATGAGTTCTATTTGCGGGCCTGTAGGTGAACATCATTTACATGGATATTTGTGCACCCCAATTTATCTTGAAAATTGTTCAACCTTTATTGGGCGCGGGAACATCTTGCCATGCAAATCCGGTATCGGCCTCCACTAACAAAAGCAAGGGGTCAACTTCCCAAACCAGCCAACACTACGGGCGCCCCGCCAGCATTTAGCAAAGCAAGCTGCAAGCTATTGCCTCGAGGATCTCCGTCCTTGCAGTCCTACGATCCAATCGATTGCCCCGATTCGAATTGCCGGTTGGTCAATCTATGCAGCTGAATCATGTACCCAAATCTGAAGCGCTTGGTTGCCCAGTGGCCCGGGTAGAAAAGTAGAAATGCGGGAGTTGGAAGTTCGCCGCGTTTCATGGGGAAACTTGTCAAACGAAAGGGAGGGCTGGGTGTAGCTTCAGCAACATGTCTCCAGTCAGAACGACCCGAACGCGACAGCCACGCATCCTTCCAGCCGTATCCACGTAGCTGTGCCAGGAGCCATCCGCTTTGCGGCCACCCGACAATGGCGCCTGGCAGGTCGAAAATTGAAGGGATGTGGGGGTACCTCTCAAGGCCATGCGGGCGTTTCCTCAAACCGAAGCTTGCCCTTGAACGGATCCAGGAAGTCCCTGTTCCCTGAGGGCGCCTCCAAACCGAAGCCACTTTTCTGTTGAGATTGGCAAAAGTATAGCCACAGCAGGCACTCCTAGGTTGCATCACCAGTGTCAATCCCCACACCTCCACCAGCCTGTTGCAGCGCACCTGAGCCAGTCAGCTAAACCAGACCCGCATGGTGGGGCACGCTTCCTTCCATAGGCAACGCGTGGGGGTTGATCAATATTCCTGGCCCCCCAAATGACCAAATGACCATGGCTAAACTTTTCCCATTTACTCTACCCGGCAGATAGATGGCTCAAAAAAACGGTCTGTGCCATCTACTTTTCTTCAGCTTAGATAATTTGCACTCCGCGCGCCGGCGCCAAATAATTGGGGGTCAACCGGGATGCAAAATAGATGGCACATGTTTCATCTCTACAGTGCAAAGGACTTTGATCAACCCACAATGTGATGCTGAACTTGGTGGGCCCTTGCGCCCGCGTGACACAAAGAAAGTCATGCTTGTTTGCTTGGCAATTGTGTGTGTTGCCAGCCGGCTTGCCAATGCTTGCTGAACCTGAGGCGTGCCAATTTACGTGAAGCACTGTGGTCAATCGTGATCTGCGTTGACCAGCTGTACTTCCCGGATTTACATGGCCCAATTCAACCTGTCAGCTGGCACCCGCTTTTACCAGCTTTTGCATTCGTCTGCGTGCTTTGCCTAAGGCAAAGAACAGTGAGTCACCTGCCCTACCTGGAAATGAGGGAACCTTGAGAAAAGCTCATGGGTGAGCTTGGCTTACCTGTTCACCTGAACATCACCTTGCTCCAGCTGCGCGAAGGAGCATGCCGCGGGCCAGACGCTGCTTGATCCACCCAGCTATGTCTGCCAAGAATGAAGCCGATCCAAATGCCACCTGAACGGGTTTGGGTTCCAGGCCAGCCCCACACACAGCGCGAGGTAGATCTTGCCAACCCGCCGCGTTGCAAACTCCAGCCTGGCTCGGTGGCACGGATGCTACAGAATTCCAGTGAACAAAATCCACGCCGTGCCTCTGTCAGCATGCACTTGCTGGGAATATGCCAAAGGGGAACCCCATGCTTGGTAATCCTGGGTCGGCCAAAATGACACGTTCCTTCTGAATCTTTTGAAACGCCCTAAATGGTCATGGCCATGCGGGCAGTGGTGAAACACTCTTGGTCATGAGCCCCGCGTCCTTTCAGCACAAACAACTCTCAATTGGATTTGCCTCCGCTCGAAATTCAGTGCTCTTTTCACACAAGCAGCAAGGTTGACTCAACCCGCTGTGCCGGCGCAGCTCCCCCCCCCCAAGCAGCGAAAGCGCGGCTGTGTCAAGTAAAGTCCGGCGTAGCTGGTGGCACATAGCACAGCTCCTGGCATGAAGAGGTCCCAAATGTCAAGAGAGCAACACTTTCCGTCAACACCCAGCCCACCGTGGGCCTAACCATGGCCCGGAGGATCCCAACAGCGAACATACGCGAACCTTTTGTGGAAGGGCCGGCCTCAGGAAGCCTTCCCTCTTCCACTGCGGTCCTGACGTGAATCGGTCCAGGCGGTGCGCCAGGCCATAATCATGGGAGCGGTCCTTGCACACCTCAAAGCCCGTTCGGGCGCGGATTTGGGTCGAAGGTTTTTTTTTGGGGGGGTTTTTGTTGTTGTTTTTTTGCGGGAGGCTCCCCAATTCCATGGGGAGCCATAGGTGTCCCAATAGACAATTGTCCTAAAGGGAGGTTCCATGTCAGTTGCCCTCCTCCATCAGGCCACTCTGAGCCGACTGCCGCGTGTCGGACCCCGAGAGTGGCGGAGACCTGGAGGCGAGCTAGAGGCGAGCGGGCTCGCTGGGGAAGATGCAAGAGGGTAACCAAATGGCTGACATCAGATGCACTGAGTGCTGCAACCGCCTTGAATGTAGGAATGCCGGATTATTTAGGGAGCTTGCTAGCGCAAACACGACGCACGAGCCTCCACGGTCCTTTTCTTGGTAGCTCCGCCCTTCCCTTCCAACAATCTGCTGCAGTGTTTGACACGCCGTGCGGGGGCCACCTCAAGCCATGCTCGGACCCGCAGCAGGTGACAGACGGAAGTGATGGGAGCTTGCAGTCTGTTCCCACAGCACGGCCACTCCATAAACTGCAAGCTTGTCCCCGTCCCGCAGGCAGCAAATCGTCAAGCAGAGCAAGGCAAGTGAAGCAAACCATGAAAGACACAACATGCCGCAAGCAGACAGGGCAAAAGCACTAGGATTGACACTCTGTCTAGGACAAATTAAGCGTGGCCGCAGCATTCCCTGTGGGAAGGCCAGACCACACTGAACACGACACAGCCAAATTTGGACTCCCCCTTGCCCTTGCAAGTTTGCAGGATTTCGTCAAACCAAAAGTATTCCAGCCTCTTGCCAGTGAAGGTAGCCATATCTGTGGTCCACGTTTACCTTTTGGTTTCTTCAGAGATACTTTGGAGTCCCTTGCCCACAAGCGCCATCAGGACGTGAGGAGCCAGCTCACCCATCATCCTGGTCCCAAGTAGGCCATGTATCCAGGGTGCCTGCGATCCGACCGCGGCCCTTTTCCCACATACTCAAAGCGTCACTCAGGCCGTGCACGGGCTCCTTTTTCAGCCCGCCAAACCCGTTGAAAGCCGAAACTGCCGCCCTTCCCGGGCAAAGGCCAGTGGCAAACAGCAGAGATCTGCCAGCGTTCCCCGGCCCTGCCGGCCACATCTTTGCGGCCACCCCTGCAGGGATACCCCTCACCCAAGCGCCAAAGCGCCAAGCCACATGGAACATTCCCAGGGGTTCAAGGCATTCGCTGGCCAAGTCTGCCAAAGATCGGTGTGACTTCGGCCGGCGCTCAGGTGCATCGAATATGTGAAGCTCCAACTCCGGGCAGAGTTGCGAATTCAGCAGGCCTGAGGATTCCAAAGGCACAAAGCACAAGGAACACAAACACATTCATGCACCGCAACCTTGGGGCATCTGTCATTCCAAAAAAGGGCTTGAAGCATTAGAAGAAGCACTGGACTTTTGGACTTTTTGACTGGAAGCTTTTGTGCACTGTTTGTCAAACTAGTGACTTTCAGCCTTTCAAAACCTTCGTCTTGGCTAAATCTAACACTTCTGAGGCCAATGACTCTGCGCTCCAGCTGCCGCCTTTCTCGCGTTGAGGCAAAACCCAAAGGCCAAGTAAGTGCTCAACGACTTCTGCGGCTTGCATCGCCCCAAAGGCCCTACTTGTTGGTCTGCCGGTTGGCTTTGTCGGGAAGGTCGCTCAAAGAAGATTCTGGGGTGTTGGCAAGGAGCGCACGAAGCCAAATGCAACCTTCTGTCAGCTTCTGCCAACAGAATGTGTGCCTGATACCAATCTAACCCTACATATCGCAGTTTCTGCCTCAAGCCCGCATTGCAGCAGACTGTATTGAATCCGATTGCCAAGCGGCTTAGGCACGCTCGCAATGGGCCTCAAACAAGGTAAGCATTTGCAATGCTACAAACGTGCATGTATTGCTATGCCACGTTTCCCTAATAAAAACCCATCCAGCCGTCCCAAAAAATTGCCAATACTGGAGGCGGCCTTGTTATTGTTCAAACAATGTACAAACCGCTGTTTGCCAGCTGGAGACTCTGACGATAAACGCCGAGGTTTGCTACTGGTTGTTTGTAGTAGGCGCATTTGGGGAGCTTGGCCCGAGTTTGGTTTCTGGAGAGTTTAGTATTGGCTCAGTGATAGGTAATTTAAAAGTATGCATTCTGAACACGTGTTTGCAAATCAAAAGGGGCCCCCTTTCCAAATTGAGCGCAACACAAGGACAACGCTGTCTGAAACAGTTCTGGGTAAAAATCAGGGGACCCTAACAAAAAGACAACCCGCCGATGTTTACTTTATTTAGTTTATTCAAGGGACGGCTTCTTGTTACAGGGGGAAGGGATTATACACATGTCCTTCGAAAGGCACTGACACACGCATCGCTCTTCAGGCCTTGTCCTTCATCCATGTAGGCGCTGGCCTGGCGCCGAAGCGTGCCACACAGATCCCGGTCATGAAGAAACAAATGGCCATGGTTCAAAACCATTTTGGGATCCCATTTTGGGATAGGTGCTCCACCCATTTTAGTCGGCATTTTAGTGGGGATTGGGATGTTGACTGGGGGTACGGGGTATTGACACATACCCAAATGCATCAGAGCGCCACCCCTCGTCCAGCAGCAAAGCCAGAAGCTCCCCCCCCTCCCCATTTGCGCTGCTCACGCAGCCTTTGACCCCACAGGACCAGCTGATTTCACGGGCGTCGCGGCGACTGACGCCGCCGGCCGCTCGGCCGACAAGGCCGAATCCCATTCGGGGCAGAAGCAGAGAAACGCCACCGGGGCCAACCTAGTGGCCCACCGTGGGGAAAGCCGAAGCAAAGTCCTCCACCTCAGAAGGGATGTCAGCAACAAACTCAGAGAAGCAACGGGGTCCTCTGGTATGCCCGTTTTGTGCTACAGTGTGTGGACTAGAAACCTCCAACCATCGCAGAATAGCCAAGCTCTTCTTCCCAGACATGGACCAGAATTTGACCATGGTTGTGTTTGTTTTTTTCTTTCTCTCTCTCTCTCTCTGTCTCTCTCTCTCTCTCTGTCTGAACTCTCTGAAAGGGCAATTCCTGGCACACATCCACCAGCGGGTCACCCATCCTCATAAAGATTCAACTGGTGTGCTTCAAGCCAGCACCCAAACGAATAGAACAAGGAATGGAGGTACCATCCGAACACATGATTCACTGTTTGGAGCAGTCTTCGACTCCATGTGAAATCTTTTCCCGCCCCCCCGCATGGAAGCTACCTCCAAATCACAACCAAAAGTAAAATGGCCGGGCTGCTAAGACCATCCCCAGCAAAACCTGCACCATTCATGTGTTTTTTCAACCAACATGCCTCATTTGGGTGTCTTCAAACCGGCGGGGGGCCCGCCCTTGTCAACCGCCCCCCCCCCCCAACAAACAAAAGGGGGGGGGGGGCGAGTTCTAAAAACGGATAAGACACATGGCCATCGGAACCTCGGAACATCCCGCCTGGGCTTTAAGCTCCTGCAGCTGCGGGGGCTTCTCTGCCAGCTTCTTCTTGAAGTCCACCAGCTTCGGCCCCGTCTCCTTCCTGAGCGGAACATGGGAAACGCCACCCGCGAAGCGGAGGAAGCGGAGGATTGGCGGATCCTTCCCACGGATACACTCGAGACAAGTGGAACTTAGACCCCACTTTTGAGAGCTGAAGACGAGTTCCATGTATCCTGAAGGACCCGCTGTTTGAGTGGCATGTGACGTCTGTCCTTCGTGCCCTTTGTGGGGGAACCAGCAGAAAAACTAAATGGAAAGCCGTGATTGTGGGGTCTGGTTGAAGGCACACCCGGAAGGCAAGGCTGCAAGGTGACAACCCCAAGTTCAGGTAACGAACGCATATGTTAGACCATGTTCGGCGAGTTAGCTCACATCCCTGTTTGCAACCATCATTTCCTGAGTCTTTTTTCTACATCACATTCCCTCATTGGGTTTGGGAATGTAAAAAGGGCAATGTGGACATGTGGAGCGTTGGGGAAACCCACTAAAAAGCTGATCTTTCAAACACTAAATGGGGCAAGTCGCCCAATTTTCGCTCTGGGGGCCCTAAATCCATGTGGCCATGGGTCAAAATCCCGTACCCACCAGTGAACATCCCAATCCCCACTAAAATCCCGAGTAAAATGGGTGGCGCACCTATCCCAAAATGGTACCAAGACGGGTTGATTTATAGCCATGTGGAACAAGGGCGTTACTCGCGCTGGCAGGGCGCTGCAGCTCCGCCGCGATGTCCACGGCCCGGCCGATGAAGCTCCCGATGCGCACGAAGTCCTCCTCCACCAGGCCCCGGGAGCTCATGGCGGGGGTGCCCACGCGGAGGCCGTTGGGGGTCATGGCGCTCTTGTCCCCTGGGATGGTGTTCCTGGTGAGCTGGCGGATTTTTTTGGGTGAAGAGGAAAAGGCCTGCTGTGTGTGAAGGGGGCTGGGGGGGCTGGCGATTGGATTTTGTTGGGGTGAAGAGGCAGGCCTGTTGGAAATACAGAAAATCAGGAAAGCATGCATGCCATGCGCTTGGAATGCTGAAGCTGGGGGGAACTTGTCACCTTTTAGGCCTGTCTTCAGGGCTCCTGCAGAAAGGCACCTCGCTTCCACCATTTCCACCACTTCCAAGGGAACAAAAGAACCATCGAACGCATGGCAGGCATTCCTGTGCCTCCATGGCAACACGTTTGGGGGGCAAAACTTTATGCACAACCGTGACACCAGTCCACCGCAAGGGCGTCCGGTGGTTTTCTTGAATCTCACATGCTGGCCAGGAGTCTTGTTCAGGACGATGCTAGCCTCTTCGCAAACAAGCTCACCTTTAGAGCCGTTGATGCCCTTGGAGCGGAGGTCAATGAGCAGGAGGTGGTTGTCAGTGCCCCCGGACACGAGGTTGAAGTTGCAGCTCTGCAACGACTCGCCCAGAGCCTTCGAGTTCCTTGGGAACTTGCGCGGTATCAATTTCATCCATGTGCTTTTTCCAAGCCCAAGGTGATAGAATCAAAAGGTCAAGGCCCCATTTTGAGGCCAAGGCGCTTGATGACCTGCTCGATGTACGTCTTGAACTCCGGCTGGGTGGCTTGCTTCAAGGCCACGGCCAGGGCCGTGATGCTCTGATTGTGCGGCCCGCCCTGCAGACCCGGGAAGACCGCCGCATTGATCTTCTCCTCCAAGTCGTACATGATGGGATTGCCCTTCCTCACACCCCGAAAATTAACGAATTCGCACGTATTTTA